CCCTAGCTCTGTCTGTTTGAGACACACTCATGAGGCAGCAAAAGAATGCACAGACGCAAAATGAAAATGACCCCACGCTCCATCTTTAAAACATCAGCTCTCTTCACTGGAAGACGCTGATCACAGCACTCAAGAGACACAGGCACGGGACAGTCAGAGGCACACAACCTGGCAAGAGCAGACACCCTCTGCCAACTTCTGGGTGGTCGCCGGCAGTGGGCACTCTAGGTGTGGGAGTCTCCTACACAGGGCCCTGGGAAGATGCAGACCAATATGGCCTGAGGTCTTGGGAATTTCAGCTCTGGACTCTCTCAGGTCTTTCACGAGTTTCCTGAGCGTCTGGGTGGTGTGAGGTGCTACAGCAGATGTGCTCAGGTAACATGGGTTACCCAGCCCAGCTGGTGAGGGCTCCGTTCTCCAGGAAGGCTCCTGTGCTTCAGGACTTCAATTAGCCTAGGTTGCAGGGGCAGATCCTCAACACACCCAAAATAATACTAGGGATTCCACTAACATTTCAGAGGACTGGGTCTTAGAGAGCTCACTCAGTTCCTTCTATTGAAAAGCACCCAGTGACCGCTCAGTAAACATCCTGGATAAAGCCTGTCCCCAGACAGGGCCTGGTCTTTCACAGGGCCCACATGAACTGGGCATCATCATGCTAAGTGAAATAAGCCAATCCCCAAAACCAAAGGCCAAATGTTCTCTCTGAAATACGAATGCTAACATACAGTGGGGGCGGGCGAAAAGAATAGAAGTCCAGTGGATTAGATGAAGGGGAATGGCGGGAAGGTGGGGAGATGGGAATGGGAAAGACAGTAAAATGAACCAGACATCACTTTCCTGCATTCACACATGCACACAGGACGAGTGCAGCTCCACGCCCTGTGCAACCACAGAACAGGAAGTTATGCTCCTGTATGAGTGTATGTCAAAACACACGCCACTGTCGTGTGTAAGTGAAAAGAACAAAGAAAAAAATGGACGCATGAACAAACACAGGGGTGAAGGAGTGGCAGCACCCTGCTGGACAGTCCACCTGTCCACAGCCAGTCCTGACAGAGCAGGCCCAAGCAGGCTACTCTCCCCTCTGTTGTGGGCAGAATGACTGTGGCGCAAGTGCTGGAGCTCTGTGGCCATAGCTGCTCTGCCCTTTACCTGAGCGGCTCTGACCCTCTCCCAGCCCTCCACCTGCCGCCAAGATTAACGCAGTGAGAAGCTGCAGGCTGGCTCCCGCTCCTGAGTTGCTGGAGGGAAGTGCACACTGTTGTGAAATGAGGGGGTTAAAGATCAAAACAGTGCCTGCCCCTGCAGAGTTTAAATGTCAGAAAAATACTAACACGCTTGAAACCTTTCCCGGCCTTTGTGATTCTGCCCTTTCAGAGGGTCCCCTTATTTCCAAGTCCCATTCTCTGAATCTACTCTGCTGGAGACTTGCTGGCTATGAAAAGCTGCTTCACCCCAGGATGAAGCGCAAGAAGCCTCTGGGGGAGCGCAGCGAATGGCAGGCACCTGTCAGCAGCCGCAGCCCCACAGCAAGCTGTCTCCAGCCTGCGGCCACTTCCTCACTCAGGTACAGGATCTAACGAGCACGACAGAAAGGGCTCGCTGACAGTCAACGTCTGCAGACAAAAGGAGGCCAAAGTCTGCTTCCCATGGTGGAATTTGCTATAGAACCTCAGGTCTGTGGCTTTAACTAGGGAGCAGGCATGGGCCCCAGGAGAATCTGACAGGGGTGTGCTTCTATTGTCTAGCCTCTGATGCCATTTTTCAGAAGTGAAAAGTTTTGGCTCTGCAAGGTAGTTCCCTCCACCGCCCCTCCTGGATCACAGGGAGGAGACGACCTCTGAGGGCTTCCTGCCTTCCTAGCAGGTTCTAGTGGCCATGCTGCTACTGTCCAGCAGGAACATTTCCCCTCCAGTAAATACAGCCATGTGATGACTGCCTGAGAGGTGCAACCTTGGGGCTCTACCCCAGGCCAGCTGTGTGGAGAGGGTGGTGGGGAAAAGAGTCCCCCTCTCAGAAGAGGGCACAGCTGTGCATCTACCACTGTCAGGACATTTAGGCACCGTCTTCTGCCTGAGACACCCCCTTACTGAAGACCCAGAGCCTCCTGTGCACGTCACACCACCTCCTGATGCATGGATCCAGACGATGCTGGTAACAAGGTCCACCCCGGCCAGTCTACATGGCTGGGTGCAAGCAGGCCAGTTAGGGGCGAAAGGGAACGTTTACCTCCATGCTCTTGAACAAGGTCTTTCAGGAAAATGCTATAAGCAGCATCAATCAGTACACCCCAGATTTAAGTGGGTGGACAGGAAGAAAATAGAATTCTGAGAAATAGCTGGTCCTAAAAAGCAAAGTTTAGAACACTGCTGCCTGATCCTTCTATTTTGGCATTTTGAGTTTGAGATGCTAACCATCACCCACAGGCTGCTCAGGCTTCAGAGTCTGCCGCAGACGAAACAGCCCCAGCTCTGTTTAGTGCCAGGCCTGACTGGGGCACAGGAAGTGCCACCATCTGACTGGGCTGACCTCACCTTGGCTGAGGTGAACACAGTGAAACCAGCATAGTGCACCCCAGCTCCCAGGAAGGGACCCTGACTGCCTGTTCTGCATGATCACTCCACCACTACCTTCTGCAAGCAAGGAGCGTGAACTTTCCGACAAGGTGCCAAACTGCTCATGTGGTGGGAACCAGTTGGAAGCTTTTTTGAGAAAGGATTTAATCTAATTCTGTGCTGTATTATTTTCTAATACATTGCTTCATCTGGCAGCGATCAGGCAATGCTCTGATAGGAAGAGATGAGGATTCTTCCATCTACTAATTCCCTTTTATCTTTTTGGTACCAGGGATTGAACCCCGGGGTGCTTAACCACTGAGCCACATCCCCAGCCTTTTTCATTTATTTGTTTTGAGACAGGGTCTTTCTAAGTTGCTTAGAAACTTGCTAAGTCACTGAGGCTGGCCTTGAACTTGCAATCCCATTAGCCTCCCAGGTTGCTGAGATCACAGATGTGCATTGCCATGCCCAGCTCCATCTACTAATTCTTAACTGCTGGAAGGAAAAAAAAAATACTTCAGTGTTATCCGCCTTTAGTTCTAACCAGATGGCACTGTCACCTGCCCCGAGTTGTGATTCTTTAATCTAGTACAGGTCATATTGGAGGTCAAGTCCATTTAGTTAAACACAGGGGAAGGCAGAGATGACAGGGGAATCTCAGGAGACTCTGTGCCCTCCCCAGCTGATACACAGTCCCCAACCATACTGCTTCAAACATAGCATCAACTACAGGGAAGGAACTGCGGGTGCTCTTAACCCTCTCTAACTAGACTGATATTAATCCTAAACACTGCTTCTGTGTGTGTTTGGAGTTTTTAATAAATGCAAAGAACCCCCCGCAGGTCATTTTCAGGAGAGGCAGGATAAAGATGCAGCATTGTCTCTTTAAATCTATGCATCACCAAATCTACGTTGCACACACTTCCCAATTCCCTACTAAACTTTCTGCCTATATTCAAAAACACTTAATTTTACCAGAAATTGTGTGGGAGGGATAGCTATGCAAAGGCCAGAACTGCAAAGCCCCCACTGCCATAAAGGGCTTTGGAATGGAAATGGGACCAATGTTAAAGTCCAGGGTCTGGGCTGCAGGGCTCCTGCCTGGTGAAGGACAGGGCTTTTGTGGAGCTGGGAGAAGGTAACTCATTGCCACCTCACAGAGGACACAAAGATAAGAACCAGGCTAAAGGAAAAAGCAGCGGTTGTAAATGTCCCTCACCGTTCCAGCAAAACAAGATGCCAATGATGAGCTGCATTCTCTCTCTAGAATGCTTTCAGCCAAGAGCCAGGGGCAAAGCCTGGCGAGCCAGCACACAAAGCTAGCGCTTAAGGCCGAGATGTTCTGCACGATGTCCAAGTGACCGCTCTAGGTGTGGCGACTCAGATAAGGATGCCAAGATCACAAATGCTATCCTGGCACTAAAGCCTAGGCATGAGCTCCCTGCAGGGCAAGGCAGTGGCTTTCTCAGTGACTCTCTCTTGACTTGGGAGCACTGTATTTGTAAGGAGGTGTAAATGACACCAACGGGGGCCCAGCCCCCTCCTCTGCTCGCTGTTGCTAACATCTTCCACTGTGAAGGGACCAGCATTGGACACTCGCTAGCAACGCACTCCAGCCCGCGCACCTGCTGTTGACAGATCTAATCAAGAACGTCTCACGGCACTTAGTTGGGGTAAGTTCTTGAATTCTGGCTGCTCACACGTATAGGCTCCCTAAAGGTGTGCTTTCCAGCCCCAGGCTGCTTCTCCACTCCTGGCCCAGGTCTTCTGCCCCTTATCATGGCAAATGAGTCAGGGGTCAAGGTGAGCTGCCATGAAGGAAGCACCACAGGAAGCCCTCCCTGCGCGTGGAGGTTCTCTGGGAAGATGAAATGTGGAGCTGGGGACTGGGGTTTCTCTCGTCCCTCTTTGTTGGGGATAACATTCACTTACACCTTCCACGAGGAAGCCCAATGCCTGACTAAGCTACCAGCAGAGTGTGAAATGGGGGTGAAGCCTCCCCCAGCCCACCCCCAGGCACCTGGAACTCTTTGAGAAATGAGTTGCAAAATGGAAATGACCTTGGAGCAACTCAAAAGCCCCTGATTTTTAAAGTATGTATGTGTATGTATGTATATGTGTGTGTGTGTGTGTGTGTGTGTATATATATATATATATATATATATATTTATATTAGTTATAGGTGGACACAATACCTTTGTTTTATTTTTATGTGGTCCTGAGGATCAAACTCAGTGCCTCATGCATGCCAGGTGAGCACTCTACCACTGAGCCCCAGCCCCGGCCCCCAAAGCCCCTGATTTTTAAGGTGTAAGTTACATATAATAAAACCTACCCACAGCAGGTGTGCAGTTCTGAGTTCTGACACATGCACACCTGTGTTATCTCGACCATGGCTGTAAAAGAGCATTTCCACTGCCCCAGCACCTTCCCTCGTACCCCTCTGGGGATTTCCATCCTGAGGTCTTGCTTCCTTGGCATGCCATGTGGATGGAAGTGCGCGGTGAGCAGCTTTGACTGGCTCCTTAAACTTCTTCCACAGCCTCTGGTTGGAGACCAATGCTTACTCCCCATGCCCTCGTGTTTTGCTAACACATCCTGAAGGAGAAGCAGAAAGTAAGACTTACCTTCTGGAATACTTGATAGTTGGATTTCGACCATATATCCAACTGGGGAAAGAAAAAAATCATTAGCAATGATTTCAGAATTCTAGCCTTTAAGAAATGATACCGTAACTACTGTTATCCTTACTAAACTTGAAAAAGTAAAACATTCAGATTACAGAATAGGATCTGGGGTTGAAGATCTTAAATGTTCTGCTTAAATTTCCTCTCTATCAATCTGTAGGTGACTTCAGAAAAACAAATGAAGGGATGAATACAGGGAAGGCAAATGGAGGAACACAGGCAATCAAGCACTTGCTCAAACCCTGACTCCCACTGCGGTTCTTGCACCTCATGTGCCTCAGGATCTTGGCACCTGTTGAGCTCGTTGCTGGACTCTTTTCCACAAGCTCTCCCATGGCTTCTCCTATAAGTCCTGCAGCTCTATGTCACCTTATCAGAGAGGCATTTATCAGTTACCTATCAAAATATCATTCCCAGTATCTGCCATCTTGATTCTCTACACCCTTTCAAAAATTTAAATGTATAGCACTTGAAACTGCCCGAGGTGCTATCATTTCTTTGTGTATTTACTATCTGATTTGCTCAGAGAAATATAAGCTCAGCGATGGCAGGAGGCCTTTCTTCCTCCCCATATCCGAAGCACACTGTGGGCGTCAGTAGGTCTTTGCTGGGTGGAGGAAAACTAGTAGGATCCAGCTACCGAGCACCTGACCCACGGCAGGCCCCCACCAGACCCTCCACATGGGTTCATTTAATCCCCAGAATGAGCGGATGTGGCTGATTCCATTAGCAGCCTCACTCTCCAGGTAAGGAGTCCGGGTCCAGAGCTGTCCAACAGCCAAGGTTACCTGGACAGGCTTCCTACAGAGAGCCTCACCTGGTGGTGTTTAAACCTGGTTGGGGTCAGAACCTCTAGGTAGGATTTAAAAATAGGTGCAGATTCCTGGCTCCCTCCCCTGGAGTGCTCTCCTTTTGTTATCTGTCTTTTCAGCGGTGTTCCAGGTAAACTTTGATGCCGATGGGCTGGGAAATCCCTGTGGTTTACCCTAGCCAAACACAGTTTGCATAATGAAGCAGACCTGTGCCTTCGCCCTATTTCAAGAGCAGTAAAGTATTGCAAACCCCAAATCACCCCAGTACAGAGCTGGAGACAGCCCAAGGATCACGATTAAAGAAGTTCTCAGCGAGTCCCAGAAGTGCTGGAAAGTTGGCTTTAATATCCGAGGTCAAGAGCTGAGCAAACTGAAATGCCGGAGGATGGGTCTCTTGGAACCTGCCTTTGGGGTTGGCCAGTGGTCAAGCAGGAGTCCGAGACGGGGCTGTTTGGGCCTGAATGTCACGCTGTTGATTTGGAGCCACCAGGAGAATGAGAAGCAAGTCATAGGGGAGACTCCTCTAAGAGGACAGGAAGTGGAATGGCTGCATTTGACCTGGCTTCTATTTTGAGGAAATACACCAGCTTGGCTTTCTAAAAAAAGTCCTTGAAAATTAAAAGTTGGGCTGTGACCAGGCACTCATCCAATTCTCCAGGGTTTTCCTGCTCACATTTGGTCTCCTGTCACCCTCACTGTGGTGAACACTCTGCAGGAGAGAAGGCTAAGACGGTTCCCAGCTCTGCAGGCCCCTGCTGGGGTGGAGGAGGTCAGCTGGCCAACCCCAGCGCCCTTGCAGAAGAGGCTGATGGCACGTTCCTGCCCTCCACTTGGAAACACACTGCAATCCCTCCTTGAGCAGGTCCCAGGGCTGCACCATGTCCCTCCTGGTCTTCACAAGAGCCCCCGGTCCACTCCCTCCCTCCACTCCTGCTAAATCGCTTCCTAGAAAGGCCATGTGGCCAGTCTGCAGTCATAGCCAGCCTTGCCCTCAACCAACGGATGAGGAAGAGTCTAAAAAACTCCAGGCGCTCGAGTTTTAATTTGACAGGTTAACAATTTATAGGGGAAAAGTGACAAAGATAACTCTGAAGGAAACCTCAAAAGAAATAGGTAAAATTAATTCCCCACATTATCAATTCTTTTAAAGTATACCATTGGGCAGCTGGTCACAGAGGGGAAACAAAGCCAGGTTCCTGCTACTTTCTCAGTATAGCAGTTTGGCCTAAGGTTTAACAAATGCGGCACTTAAAGATTCTTCAGAACTGCAGGGTGAATATGAATGGCTTTTTGCATCTTTTAGTTCTACCCAAATCACTGCCAAGATGACAGGGAGATGCCAAAGATTCTAAATCTACATTTTAGGAAGAGCAGCATCAATGTCTGCACTTGGGACTAACTAGTTCTCCTTATAGCTCAAGCCCACAGCTGCTGCTTCTGAAGCCCTCTACCATTCACCCTTCCTGCCTCGTCATGCCCCGCGGAAGCAGAAGACAAACGCAGAGCCAGAAGAGGAATCTGCACAAACTAAAGAGTATCAGTGTTTGCTTAAACACAAAATTGTCTTAAAACACCTTCAGTATCTTCAAAATGTTTTAATGAAAACATCATCTATGAAGAAATATGCAAAGGTTTAATTAGGAGCGGGCTCTGCAGCTCATTGTGGATTCTCAGAACACTCCTAGCTTATTCAAAGCGAGGGTGCTGCTCTTTTTCAAAGGAGGTTTAAATATATTATTCAGGACCCTAGGGACAGCTCTACCATCTGGGAGCCAGGGGCCTTGGACAATGTGGTCCCTTCACCTGGTGCACACAGCTGAGAGGGGTGGATAACAATGGGCTCCCTCTTTTGCAGGACCACACGGCAGGTGGTCTGTACTTGATTTTCCGCTAGATTTATGCCAAAGAAAGCCATTTAAATGAGTGTGCTGGAGTCAATGCCACCTCTCCTCAGGGCCAGGAAGATCTCAGAAATTCATCCAGGGAGCTACGCCATAGCTGCGTGAATATTTATTAGCTCCAGCTTACCCACTGCAAGGGCGGGTATGGCTACCCGTTTTTTTGCTGGCTGCAATATTCAGAAAAGGAGCATTGTGAGGCTGCACGCCTCCAGCCTGATGAACTAAAAATGACTCTGAACCACGGTGTCAGGGTAAGAAGGTGAGCTCCCTGGGTTTGCTGGCAAGCATTTGAAAGACCTTGTGGTGACCGCTGGCCAAGTCTGCAGTCCTATGAGCAGCATCCTGGCCTCGGGGGAGGGGAAGACGTGTCTTAGGGTGGGAATAGGGTCTATTTTCACCTCTCCCAAGGATGACCAAAAACTTCAGCACAGACACATCTGCTCTCAGGAGGTGTCCTAAGGCCTCTCTATACAGGGGCAACTAGTGAAAACAGTGACCAAAAAGAACAATCAGCATGACTTGCCATCACTGGCACATCACTTTAACTTCCATGATAACCACTGTCTCCTCTGTCACAACCGGTGAGCCCAGGCATGGCTGGCTGAGGAGTCTTATGGCCTGTACTTTACCTGTCCTCCCAGCACGAGGTTGATAAGATCATTTGCAACTCACAGCCGAGGAAACTGAGGCCCAGAGAGGTTAAACAAGTTGTCCAATGCCACATAGCTGCTGTGTGGAGGAGTCTGGAAGCAGGTGAGTCTAGAGGCCCCTTTCCCTGGGGGCGGAGGCTGCCCTTAAGCTTGACTTCAGATGGGCCACCAACTTGGAAGCCCCCACGCTGATGCCTGCACAGCTCTTCTGGGGGCACTCTCCTGCAGAGTTCAACAGTGCAAATCTGCTTCGAGGCCTGCTGCCATGGTAATCATCGCCACTAAAATTCATTTAGCAGTATCTGAAATTCTGGCAGCTTCTCAGAAAGTTATCAATTCTTTATTTCATTTTGAAAAGCAATGCATACAATGAATTTTAGATGATCTAAAATGGACATTTCAAAACAGAACTTACGAGCCACAGGGGTTTCAACTTTTAAAGCCTTTATTTAGGAGCTCTGTCTTGCAAGGTCAACAGGTGACTAGACCCGTCAGTTTGGGTGAATGTGACACCTGAGTGACAGGGATAGATTTCTCCATGGCTTCTCAAGTTTTCAAAACCGTGCAAACTTCATGTGCTCATCCCCTTAAGCCTGCCCGCCCTCCCTGGAGAAGGAAGAGGAAGTCTGGGGAGGAACGCGGTGTTGCAGGTCTATTATTCTTCAGCTTTTCACTTTCAATCAGGACACGCATTTGTTACTAAAAAAACTGCTGAAAGCACAATTTCAGGGCCCCCTCTGCCTGGGAATTAAACCGGATTCCCCTCTCCTGGCTTTCACCCTTCTCCCTAGAAGTAACAAGAGGCCATTTTTCTGAAGGTCGTCTGAACAATTTCAAAGGCTATAACAAATCAAAATGTTCCCTGCATCTAATATCAAACGGGGCTGATGCCAACACTTATTAGAGAAATCAGATTCCAGCTTCCCCAACCCCCTCCACCCAAACACACACACACACCCAACTTTGAAGTGAAAGAATGCGGGATCAGAAATTACCCTGGAGACAGCTCTGGCTGTCTTTGAAGGTTTCCTTTGATACCACCATTTCTTCTCCTCTCTTAGGCTTGCAGGCTAAAAGCTGCCTTTTTTTATTGATATGGGGTAATTAATGAAGCTATAGCATTAACATAACCTAAATCCCCTAATAAGACAAATCCAACTGAGACACTTAAATTTTTTTCAGTGAAGCCTGATGGCTTAGGATCGGGACAATGGCCAGGTGTTGCTCTAGATCCCGCCTTTTGACATGCTGAGTCAAGGCCACGGCTCTGACTCCCAGATGGCAGTGAAGAGCGGTGGGCGAGTCGGAGCAGCATTTGTGTTTTCTATTAGAGCCATCAGGCTACTGGTGTTCGGTATCAAAACACGCATTACAGGTGAAGAGACAGGGCGTCAGGGTGGTGGCTGTTCTGCAGAGGGCAAAGCAGAGTCTTGCTGGGACAGGTTCTGCAGGCGAAAAGCCCTGCTGGGTCTGCAACCTGGGGGTGGCGAGGAGCACTCCCATAGTAAGGGGGATAATGAAACCATTTAGAAAGTGCCAGCTGCGTGGTGGGCAGAGGCAGAGGCGAGCCCTCTGAGCTTCATCCAGAGCCCTAAGGCTGTTTCTGGGAGATTACAACAAAACACTGCCACCCCCCAGCCACTTCCGCACCAACTCAGCCAATGCAGGGCTGCACCTTTGCAATAACAAAACTCAAGTGACGATTTGTTCTTGTAGGCCACACCTTAGGTTCCAATGGTGCCTTCCAAATGTTACATTGCATTTGAAATGTGCAAGACACTTCAACACGCAAGTGCATACTCCACGCAGGCGGCTTCCCCGTGCCTCCCACATGTGCTCAGGCTGCTGCTGTGTTCCAAGCACTGAGGATTACCCTAGGGACACAGCAGAGTCACAGGACAGGGTCTATGCCCTTGGGAGCTCCAGCTCAATGCAAGTTTGAGACCTGGCTCTGCGAGGCTGTGGGCACAGGGATCCACCCCCCTACAGCCCATTCCTTCACCTGCGAGACGAGACAGCTGGGGAGCCTACAGCCAGGCAGGCAATGTCTGAACGGTCACGCCACCAGACAAGACATGCTACTGTCACCGGCATTTCTATTAGTTGCAAGAGGGACAGGTAAGCAAGCACACCATACTAATTAATTCTAGAACTGGCAAACAGGTGCTCAAGACTCTGATGTGACCCCTCTGTGCCGGGAGTGGAGGTGCACCCAGCTCTGCCACCTCCGGAGCCCATGCTCATGAGCACATGTCACCATAACAGGCCCCTAGGACAATGGGACAGATAAGACGACTGTGTTAGGCAAGTGTAAAGGGGAGAGAAGGGCCTCGTCAGGTGGACCACAGGGGCAGCCATCCCAGGGAAAGGCGGGCTGGAGCGGGGCATGTCCTGGAGTCCTGGGCAGCCCGAAGCCGGGGAGTGAGATGGGATGGTGTAGACAGCAGCAGAGGAGGCGGAGAAAGCCAAGTCACCAGTGCGCACCCTGAGGAGGAGATGGGGTTTAGTCTGCAAGTGGAGTTCTCAGAAGTGTGTTCTGAAAAATGCCAGTGTCACAATATGCTCTAAGAATAAAGGGTGGAGGAAGGAGCTCGGTGACCCAGTAAGATAGAAACATCTTGCGCACAGTGAGCTCCCTTCCAGACAAGGCACATAGCGCTCACGGCCCTGGGATCTCTGCAGTCTGCAGCTCAGTGGGGGAGCACATGCTGAACACATGAGGCCCGGGGTTCCATCCCCAGCACCCCAAACAAAAAACAGGACCAACTTTCCCTAACAGGTGTTTCTCAAGCTTGTTTGACTGTGGACTGCTCTGAGCCCAGCGCCCACTGCCATCCTGCTTTCTTACTTTGGGGAGGGCTGTTCCAAGCAGCAGGGGAGGGTAAAAAGCAAGAGAGTCACCTGTGAGGATGTGTATTTTAGGGAGGCGGCCCCGAAAGCCAAGGGCAGGACAAACTGGGAGGGAAGGGAGACCAGAGATGGGACTCCAGGCAGGGAGAGCAGGTGTTCAGCTCAGAGATAATGAGCACTGAAGCAGAGCGCATGCATGGGCGAGTACCAGCTGACAGATCAGCCGTGGGGGATGAAGGAAGCAAAGTTCCAGCAGTCAGGAGGTGATGTGGTGACCAACATCAGAAGAGGAGGGAAGTGAGTGTAGGGAGACATACGATGAGCCTGGGTCTGGCCTGGTGGGATCTGAGGGTCAGGGAGAGGAGGTCTGAACGAGTGATCCATGTTTGGACCACAGTGGCCAAGGGGAGGGGGTGGGAGACCCTGGGGAGCCCAAGGTCAAGGAGATGGGCGAGAAGAAGTATCTGCGGTGTGGGAAGAGGGCATCGGAGAAGTTTTAGAGGTGTACATAAGAGAGGGCTGTCCAATGCTCATGCTTAAGTGCAGAATAAAAGGAACCCTAGCCATCGTCTACCCGGCACTGACCAAGCAGCAGAGGCTAAGTGCTGGTTGTATGTTGTTTTGGACACTCTCAGTATAGGGCACTTAAATCAATGAAAGGTTGAGGGTATCAGGCAAAGCAGGTAAAATCCAGTCCTCCTCTGCGCTCGAGTATGCCTCACTGGCATCATGACTTGGTGACTGATGAGAATGGTCCTGATTATAGTTGACCCTTCTTCCCAGTTCACCTGTAAGTCAGACCAGGTGTGACTACACGTCATCAACCTTGGAGAGACCCAAGGAACCTCTAAGTGGCCAGGTCCCACTGCAGGGTATGCACTGACCTGGAGAGGCGTCAGTTGTGGACAGTGCATGGACTTCCTTCTGGAGCTGCTGCCAGAGTTTAGAGCCATTCGCAGGCCACACCTGCCTGACTGCTCACCCCCGCCTCCATGTTTCCTCCAAGGACAGTTTGATTTTTCCCAAAGAAAAACGGAAATCTCCCCTCAATGAATGACCTGCTCTAGTGCAGAGACTGACGAGAGCTAGAGGACGAGTGACTCTCCACATGGCCAGCACGCACATGGACATTGGGATGTGGGTGACTTGCTCAAAACGCAGACGTTACACCATGGGCTGCAGCTCGTGTAATACGACGTCCTTTGCTAAGCACATTTCCACCTGTTTCTGAAGAACCTTCTATTCTCAATGCACCATGGTCACTGTGGGGTGAGAACTAGTAACAAACTTTTTAGTCTGAGTGAGAGTTGGGGGGGCGGTGGGGGTGACTCCTGAGAGGGGGCATCGTGAGGACTGGGAGGACCTGGGAGTCTCTGGGAAGGCTGCTCATTACGCTTGGGAGGCAGCACAAATGAAAGCTGTCAGCTCCCATTAAGACCCTGGCTGCTCTACAGAGCCATATGGAGAGTGTGGAGTCACAAGAGACTAGGGGTCCACCCAGGTGAGCCTCCCACAGAACAGACACCCTGGACAGCACGTGTCCTCCTTCCACAGTGGCGTCAGCATCTGTGGCTGTGAGTAGGCAACTTCCTGAAGGCTCCTTGTTAGTTTTGTGGAAAGAGTGTCATCAAGTTGTGTCAAATCAGCTCGCATTTCCTCGTGGTTCTAGGAAAAGCAAAATGCTGAACCCTGGGCTATTGATGTACGGACTGACTTTGGGGGAAAAAATCTATTTCCTCAGAAGACGTGTTTAATGAGGCAGCCGGGGTCTAAGGTGATGAATTAGAAATTCGACTAAGGGCATCAGGCTTAGAGGAAAAGCAGGAGCTTGATGAAAAATGCAAGTAGAGAGAGTGGAATGTTTTTGTACACGTTCATCTTCACGCTGACAAACCTCTGTCTGTCGATCATTTTGGCTATGATTGCTAGTTTTTAATGCCATTCATCTGGGACTCTATTTGTTGTGGAATACAGAAAATAAAGAACAAGACAGAACAGCACTACACAACCCCAAGACTGCAGAGCACTCACCTTGCCGTCCTCCGTGTAGACGTTTTCGTTATACCCCTTCACTATTGTTCGGTCAATGAACAGGCTCCTCATGACCACGATCACTCTCAACACCTTCCCCAAGGTCACCTGTCAAAACACAAGCACACACTGAACATGCAGATCACTCCCAGCTAACAGCACTGGAAGAACAACAGTTACCTGGCTAGGCTGCTTCTGAGTGAGGCTGCAGGGGACAACTGGAGGGACATGGAGCCTTTGTCTGAGGCACTCCACAACTCAGGATTTTCCTGTAACCACTGAAGGGTGCTGTGGCCCAGCTCATCTGACCTCCCTGAATTTATCTGTATTTCTGGCTTATAAACATTCTGGGTAATTTTTGCGTATGTTTACTATCTGCTAGATAAAGTATCCACCCCCTACCATCTTAAGATAGACTCATCATCTTTTTCCGAAGGCTAGGATCCTATAATTCTGGCATTCTAGGACTCAGCGAGCACATTTATTTTCATACTAGCATGGCCCTATTTATATCCAGGGAACATGGAGAGTGCACAATACGGAGAGTCAGTGCCGGCACGAGGACCCCACGGATGAACCATCTATTTATAGCAGCTGGTAGAAAGTGGAGAAGTAGTACCAAAATACAGTCTGAAGGTAAAAGGAAGTTGCTTGGTTTTATCTCCAGAAAAAGAAACATGATCCTGGAAACACATTTAAGTGCTCTTACTCTCTTAGAACCTGAGCACGTATTATGGATTAAAAAAACACCTAAAAAAAAGTGCACCTTCATATGTGTCAGGGAGAGAGAAGCCCGCTGCGCTCGCTGGGGATGGACTCAGCACCAAGAATAGCAACCAGCACTGCCCTTTCTCCAGGGGCTTGGGAAATTTCTGATACTTTGCTAAGTCTTTTTCTCAGTTCCCAGATGAGACCCTGGAGGTAGACCTGATCCAGGACCCGTTCAAGGCCTGCGGGTCTGGGTTGTTCCCATGGGGCCTGACATCACAGAATTAGCTGAAAGCCGGCCCTGCTGGTCTGCAAAAGATAAAAGCCTCAGTCCCACATGGCAATACCAATCCTTTGACACCAACCTGCTGTCAGTTTCTAGAATTGCCACCTTGGGCCACACTTCCTTATTTCCCTATTTCTTGCAGTTTTTCAACTGGCCGGCCCAGCGGCTGCGGTCCTCTTCCCTTGAGTACTCTTGGGTGCCCATGAACAACTCAATATCTGGCTCCTTCAACAACTTTATTTATTTATTTTTTGTGATGCTGGGGTGGAATCCACGGTCTTGCTATGCTAAGCAAGGTCTCTGCCACTAAGCTTATACCTCCAACCCCAGCCCTCCTTCAGTAATTTTGAGTGCTGGGTTGACACCTGTTTCCATATGCCTAAACCAGCACAGAAAAGAAGTAGGGTGAGAATGGGAGGCAACACATTTGTTTACATTTAAGGGAGCGCTAATAAACACCTATTTCTGTGCACACCAGGTAACATTCAGTAGGTTCTTTTTTGAGTGACTGAGAATCATTACTTATAAGGATGCCAATAAACCACAGTGGTAGGGTCAGCAACTCTTAAGTCAAAAGCAGCCTACTGTAAGGGAAGGAGGGAGGGGAGGAAAATAACAGGGTCTCGGTGTTGCAATGAGGACCAGGGAGGTGGCCTGGCCCTGGGCTGAGTGGAGGCAGGCTTCAAACTTCCTGCAGGAGGGCCACCATTTCCAACTGAATATTTTAACCCTCTTTTGCAAGAAGCATGGATAATTAAAAACTGTTTCTTCAAAACACCAAATCTAGCTGACTACTGTCAAATTGTCATAATTTCTTAAGTTTCTCAAGGTGGATTTCAGAAACACCCTAAAGACATCAGAAATTTTATATTACAATTTTTTAAAGTTAATTTTGGTATTTTAAAGCCAGCTAAAGCTTAAAAAGTGAAAAAAAATGTTATTATGCAAAACTCTAAAATTAGAGAAAAAAGAAGATAAATTGTTCTTCCCATTCAAAGATAATCCCATTCACATTTTGGGGACCTTCCTTTAGTATTTTTATTTTTTAGTTGTCAATGGACCTTTATTTTATTTATTTATATGCAGTGCTGAAAATCAAACCCAGTGTCTCATACACGCTAGGTAAGTGCTCTGCCACTGAGCCACCACCCAGCCCCCCTTTAGTGTTTTTTTTTTGTTTGTTTGTTTGGGCTGGGGATTGAACCCAAGGCCTTGTGCATGCTAGGCAATCACTCTACCAACTGAGCTCTATCCCCCACTTTAGTACTTTTATTACCAAAGATTTCTGAATTTCTAGATGGTTATAATTAAAACTATATGCACATAATTTCAAATCAGAATTTTACTTAAAATTATGACAGGCATTGCTCTCAACTGCTAGGCACTGTGAGGTGATGTGGGCAGTTCTAGAGGGTGACAGACTGATCTTTTAATCCTTCTCCTGTGGTTGGAATTTAACTTGCTTCCAAGTTTCCTCTAATAAAAACCCGGCTGGGATGTGCACTTCTGTTAAAAAGCTTCCACTGTATTTGGGACTGTTTCTACCTTATGGTACATTTGCAGACTTGACATTACCAGGGCAAACAGTACAAATATTTTAAGGTTTCTGAAACCATCTGCCAAACTGCTACCTACAAGGGCAGAGCCAATTAGAATGGTCCACACATACCTTTTTCATTCTGTTCATGCCATTTATGCAAGTCACTGAACAGAAGCAAAATAAAACATACTAAATCCAACGTCTACCCCAACACCAATGTAGTATTTATTTATTATTATTATTTTTGTAGTTGTAGATGGACAGTATGCCTTTATTTTATTTGTTTATTTATTTTATTTTTTTACATATGATGCTAAAGATCAAACCCAGTATCTCACCCATGCTGGGCAAACGCTCTGCCACTGAGCTACAGCCCTAGCCCTCCCAATGTAGTTTTTAAAAACCCTTTTATTATAGAAGATTTAAAAACATACAAGAGAAAGTGATAGAGTATGAAGGATTCCCATGGGTTCATTCAAACTGCAACAATTACCAACCCCTTTCACCTAGATCTCCCTTTCCCTCCCTATGTTATTTTGCAACAACTAATAGACATGGTATCTTTTTTTTTTTCCTAAGAGGAAAGCCATTCTTTTTTTTTTTTAATATTTTAAAATCGTAGATGGACATGATACCTTTATTTTTTTTATTTACTTATTTTTATGTGGTGCTGAGGATGGAACCCAGTGCCTCACATATGCCAGAGGAGTGTTACCACTGGGCCACACCCCCAGAGCATGCTATCCTTTCTAAGTTAAATAGTTGCATATATATCTCTAGAAGATAAGGGCCCTGAAAACAGAAGAGCATAACCATGATGCCACCCCACACCCAAACAAAGCCTCTCCAGTATCATCAAACACCCAGTTGAGCCTATTCAGATTTCCAGTCTCATCAATGTCACTGTTATAAGGTTGGATATGAGGTGTCCCCCAAAAACTCATGTGAGAGGCAATGAATTTTCAGAAGTGAAACGATCAGATTATGAGAGCCAAAATCTAATCAGTGGAACTAATCCACTTGAATGGATTAACTGGGTGGTGGCTGAGAGCAGGCAGGGTGTGACTGGAGGAAGCAGTTCCCTGGGGGTATGCATTTGGGGTCATGTTTTGTCCCTGGTGAGCAGAGCTCTCTGCTTCCTGAATGCCATCTCCTGAGCTGCTTTCCTCACCACTCCCTTCTGCCATGATGCTCTGTCTCACCTTGAGTCAACCTGTGGAGTTGGCTGATCATGAACTGAACCTCTGAAATGGTGAGCCAAAAATCAATCTTTTCTTCCTCTACGTTGCTCTTGTTGCGTCTTTTGGTCACAGTGATGAAAACAATCTCTTAAACAGTCACTTAAAATTTTTTTGCTTCTATTAAGATCCATATATGGTCCACAGGTGTGACTGGTTAACACATCTCTTAAGTCTCGTCTAAATGGGAAGGCTCCTCCCTCACTGCATTTTATTAAAGAAACTGGATTATTTTTAGAGGTTTCCAGGCTGGATTTGCTGGCAATGTCCCTGTGGTGCACTTTAACATGTTCTTTCTTACTCTGGGCTTCCTACAAACTGGCAATTAGATGAGGCTCAGGTTTGGTTGTTTGGGGCAAGACCACATTTGGGGCTGCAGTGGTTTGTGGACCATCAGTGCCGTGATGTCTTGCACTGGTTTGACTTTTACCATCTTTCAAATCTACCAAACTCTATGAAGTTTGTCAATTTTTATTTTTCACAAAGCCAGAAAGGAGCTTTGTGAAAAATAAGGGCCCTGCAGAGGCACAGAACTAGGGCTTTCTCAATGTATAACATGGTTGTGGTGACACCATGCAGAGTTTTGAAGGCTTTGGAATAGACACACAAGGAGTTAAGACTTGGCTGTGCCCCTGGAGAGCTTGGCCCTGATCCTCACGTTCTCTCAACGTCAGCTTCCTCCATCTCAGAAAGGCTGGGAGGAGTCCCATGAGATGATGCCCTGACGGAGGGGGCAGCACAGAGGAAGCGCTCGAGTGGAAGCTAGTGTCACTCAGCTGGAGCCCTTGTTTGCACTTTCCTGAGGTGGCATGACTTGAAGCCAGTTAATATCATGGCTGGAGCCAGACCTGCTACCAACTCCATGTTGGTGAACTTGCCACTTATCTTCCCTTCTGCTGTCATAGCTGGCCGCAGGGTGGCTGGGGATGGGATGATGGTGGTGCTGGGCCCAGAAAGTTGGGCAATACTGTGGGGTCTGATGAGTGAGTGCCAGACAGGAGCATGCACGTCTGCAGGTCAGGCATGCGAAGCTGCCAACACTGATCCGCCAGGTTTCGCTGACCCCAGAGACTACCACTTGGTGTACAGATTTTGTGCCTGTGCTTTTGCAAATGGTTCTGCCTTGCAGGTGCCATATCCAGGCAGTGTGCCCAGGGCAAGTCAGATAGCCGCTCATGCCTGTTTGCACAGCTGCAAAATGAAATGCAGAGGGGCCAGCTGAGGAGATTGAGAGGGGGTCCAGATCAAGCACATCCTGAGGCGAGGCACTCAACAGAGCCTCTGAGTGTGGTGTGACAGGGCAGGAGACCCAGCCCTCTGGCTGTGCCATCAAGAT